TTAGGTGTGTCTCTGGAATTTCGGGTATAGGCTGGGGGGGTACTTATGCATTTTCCCTTATTATTATATAAAATTGATATAGGCCTAACTTATGTATAGAAACATGTGTAAAATCAATCCAATTAACTTTTAAAAAATAATAAAATATACATGTCATCATATGCATACAAAATGAAAAAGGTTAAACAAAGCAAATTAATCTGAATAAGAAAGAATAACCGATAAATTAAAATTTTCATAAGAAAGTCTAGTGGACTAATATTTTATGTCCAATTATAAAGGAAGAAACTATGTATGTCGTGATAGAATTATTAGCAGCCCAAGAATAATTCATAATCAAGCATAATAATAAGTTAATAGATGATTAAGAGAGCCGGCATATGAGAAATATCAATGGAACCCTTACTAGTCACATTGAAGATGAATTTAGAAGAAGAAGAGGAGGGGGAGAACATCAATGGATCTAGTCTAGCATGATTCACTGATCTGACTATTTATAAAATTCTGAAAGCTTACTGTTAGAAGTTGAAAAGAACTTTAAAACATTGAATTGGTAGGAGAAAATGATAAGTCATTCTAGAGTATTGAAATAAGTGGTAGTACCAAGGAAATTAATTCATCTATGTATACTCAAATACATATTAATCATATTATTGTAAAACTTAATATGATATTCTTAATTAATGATATAATATTTAATAAATTAGATATTTTTATAACATTTTAATTAATAATAATTTTTTTTATAACATTTTAATTTAATATAGGGGAAAAACAACAATTTAACTTTTTCCTAAATTTCTTCCCACTTTTAATAATATATATGATATATGATGATATTATTATTATGATTATTATTATTAATCATCATCAGGGCAAATTAAAAAAATAACATACTTTTAAGGCAAAATTATAATTTATCCCTTAAAAGTTTATAATTACAGAAATCCCTCAAACGGATACAATAATATAAGCGCTGATACATTAATCTAATGCGCGAGATACATTAATCTAATGCGCGAGATACATTAATCGTTAAGTAAGATACATTACATTTTATACATGATACAATAATATGATGTACATTTTATACATGATACACTAATCTGATGCGCGAGATACACTAATTTGACGCGCTGATACATTAATTTGATGCGCGAGATAACTAGTCTGATGAGTGAAAATGAGGGATTTTGGAGATTTGTAAAACTTATAGGGGATAATGGTAATAACTAAACTAAAAGATGGGATTTCTCTAATTAATCATCATCATCTTCATCACCACCACCACCACCACCACCACCATCATTATCATTATCATTATTATTATTATCATTATGTTTTTTTATATTATTATTATTATTATTATTAGTATGTTTTTAATGAATTACTGACTTTTCAAATTCCTTGGGCATTTTACTATTTCATTAAAAAAATAGATTTCTAGCATCCCATAATATTCATATTTAATATATATACTGACTTTTCAAATTCTTCAGACATTTTACTATTTCATTAAAGAAAGTAGATTTTTAGCATCCCATAATATTTATATTTAATATATAATAACTAATAATATATGATTTTAAAAAAAAATTAGTAAAGGGGTAAAATGGTATTTCAACTTTACACTTTGGAGCTTCCCACTTTTAGTAAGAGTCCGGAGCCAAAAGGGCAAAAAAAAAATTGCCAAAAATTCCAAAAGGGCACATCATATTTTTTTAAAACCAAAACGGCAAAATCGCTCCTGCCGGAGCGATTTTCCTCTGACACATATTAACGCCGTGTACTCTATTAAAATAAAATCGCTGCCAAGGCAGCGATTTTTGTCTAATTTTTTTTTCTTTTTTTTCACTAAAATCGTTGGCACAACAGCGATTTTTTAACTCTAATTTTTTTCCTCCACCTAATATCGCTGCTATGGCAGCGTTTTCATAGAAAAAACAAATTTGGCAGCTTTTTGTAAAAACTTTTTTTTGGAAAATCGCTGCCCTGGCAGCGTTTTCCTTAATTTTTTTTTTCAAAAATCTTTTCTTAATTAGACTGCCTTTTCAGCGATTTTTGTTAAAAAAATTATTTTTTAGAAAAAAACACTGCCTTGTTTTCAAAACGAAAAACAATTTAAAAAAATAAAAATTGAAGAGAAACAAATTTTTAAAAAAAAGAAAAAAATTTAACTAAAAAGCTGTCAAGGCAGCAATTTTCAGCCTTTTGACAGCTTTTTTACAAAAAAAAATAAAATAGATATATATCTTGAAATCACTGCCTTGGCAGCGATTTTGGTGGAACTAGTTTTTTTTTTTAAAAAACGCTGCCTTGTAGAAATATTCTTTTATTTTATTTTATTTTTTGAAATTTCTGTCAACTAGTCAACATCTGATGGTAAATTTCTTTTCTTTTTTTTTTAAATCGCTGCCCGTGCAGCGTTTTTGCTATTTAAAACAATTAAAATTAAAATCACTGCTATTACAATCGCAAAAACGCTGCATGGGCAGCGATTTAAAAAAAAAATAAAAGAAATTTACCATCAGATGTTGACTAGTTGACAGAAATTTCAAAAAATAAAATAAAATAAAAGAATATTTCTACAAAAATCGCTGCTGAGGCAGCGATTTTTAAAAAAAAAAACTAGTTCCACCAAAATCGCTGCCAAGGCAGCGATTTCAAGATATATATATATATTTTTTTGTAAAAAAGCTGTCAAAAGGTTGAAAATTGCTGCCTTGACAGATTTTTAGTTAATTTTTTTTTTTTTTTTTTTTAAATTCTTTTCTCTTCAATTTTTATTTTTTTAAATTGTTTTTCGTTTTGAAAACAAGGCAGTGATTTTATTAAAAAATAATTTTTTTAACAAAAATCGCTGAAAAGGCAGTCTAATTAAGAAAAGATTTTCGAAAAAAAAATATTAAGGAAAACGCTGCCAGGGCAGCGATTTTCCAAAAAAAAAGTTTTTACAAAAAGCTGCCAAATTTTTTTTTCTATGAAAACGCTGCCATAGCAGCGATATTAGGTGGAGGAAAAAAATTAGAGTTAAAAAATCGCTGTTGTGCCAGCGATTTTAGTGAAAAAAAAAGAAAAAAAAAATTAGACAAAAATCGCTGCCCTGGCAGCGATTTTATTTTAACGGAGTACACGACGTTAATATGTGTCAGAGGAAAATCGCTCCTTTTAGTAATATATGATATGATACAAAAACTAAAACTTTGTAGAAAAATCACCAATATATATATATTAAAATTCATATTTACGAAACGTAGCAAACTAATTTCAAACATAGCAAGAGTTTTTTTCCAAACATATATGAAATTTCGTGTATGAAAACAATGTAAAATTCATATGAAATAAATATATCTCACTTAAAGCTTAGAATTTCGTTCACAATTTTTGTGTACGAAAAGTATATAAATTTGGTATGAAATATTTATATAACTATATAAATTTTGTATGAAGTTCATGCAGATTACTTAAAATTTAAACAACTACAACAATATTGTATACAACATTTATATCAAACTAAATACAACTACAATACCACCAAAGGATGTGGTACAATGGATGATGTTGCTCTTCTCTTAACTATAAGTCTCATATTCAACCCTGAGTATGAAATTTTTTTTAGTAGCAAATGCTTCTCCTCAAATGGGACCCTACGGGGCGTGAATTCGAAATAGTCAGGCTTCAATGCAAGTGCCGAACATCAGGTGGGAGACTAGAAGAAAAATACAACTACAATAACATACCTAAAATAAAAACAATTTTCATGTAGCTCATCTGTCATTGTATGATTATCACACAATTTTTGATACAATTCATAATTTTGAATTTCAATTAACTAATACTAAAACTCAATCCAAAACTAATTCAAATTTTACCTAAATAATCTCAAATTTATATTATAACTCATCTCGATATTTCAATTTTTTTGAGAAATCATGCATTCAAAACAAAATTCATTTACGGCAATTAATTTTGAGAACTTGAACTTAAAGTTCTGACAAAATCTTTTATGGAATAACCTCCATGGCTGAATTCGAATTAATTTGTGCTGACTTATTGAATATTTTATTTCTTCTCTTCAAAGTAACAAAATGCATCTTCGATAAATTGAGAAGCCATGCTCATAGATTCCCCAAACAAGGAAAACTAAACAGAAAAGAAAGGTATCTATTAGGGGTGTACGTGATCGGCTTAGTTCGGATTTTCCAAATATCAAATCAAATCATTTGTGTTTGATTTTTAAATTTATAAATCAAATCAAACTAATAAACTCGAGTTTTTCAATCTCTAGTTTTTTTTTGAAATTTTTCCTGTAAAGTATTCGCAAACATGTAATTAACTTGTGCTTCAAATATTTTTTCAATCCCACCAAAGTACAACTATCTAAGATACTTTTTAAGAAAATAACACAAAATATGAGATGAGGGATGACACTAAAATATTCAACAAAAAATAATAATGAAATAACATAAAACAAATATTGCAAATTAATATGTCATTAGAAAAATGATTATAATTTAAAAGTACTAAATCATGCTAAAATAAGTCTAATAAGTATTAATTGCTTGATTAAATATTAAAAATAAAATTAGATTATGTATTTTAATTGCCTAACCAATGTAAAACTAAAAAACAAATATTCAACATTATTGTCATTCTTTAGTGTTGAATTGCCGATGATCTTCTGAAACAACCTCTCTATCTATACGAGGGAGTGGTAAGATCAACATAAACGTGTGCCACTGAACTTATGCCTTAGAGCATAACTTGTGTTAACCAATTTTAAATTCTTGCCTTGCACTTAGTAGAGAATATATACTTTTCTACTTTAGAACTTTTTGAAGCTTTAAATACTGAATTCCATGATTACAATATTCATCACTTATCAAACTCTCAATCTACTGCTTCCAATATTAATTTTCATACACACTTTACCTTTTGCAAAAAAATTATTAATTTCCATTTTTTTATTTTTTTTTCAATCAAAAGTAGTATTCCTAAAGATGGCGGATGCCTTTGTGTCATTTGCAGTTAAAAAATTGAGTGATTTCCTCAGAGACCAAGTTTCCCTGAGAACAAATCTCAGAGAGGAAGTTGAGTGGCTGATAAAAGAGCTACACATCATAAAGTCATACCTCGGAGATGCAGAACAAAAGCAAAGTGGAGATCATAGAGTTCAACAATGGCTGTTTGAAATCAACTCTATTGCTAATGACGCTGTTGCTATACTCGAGACTTACAGCTTCGAGGCTGGTAAAGGTGTTAGTCATCTCAAGGCTTGCCCTTGCATATGTAGGAAGGAGAAGAAATTCTACAATGTCCTTGAGGAGATTCAATCACTCAAGCAGCGAATCATAGATATCTCTTGCAAACGAGAGACTTATGGTATTACAAATATCAATTATAATGCAGGAGAAGGGCCAAGTAATCAGGTTACCAACATTGAGGAGAACTACCTCAAATGTGGATGACCAGAATTACGTTTTTGTTGGACTTCAGGATGTTGTAGAAAAATTGTTAGATGAACTTCTCAGAGCAGAGGCTCGTCCAAGCGTCATCTCCATTTGCGGAAGGGGTGGTTTAGGCAAGACTACACTTGCGAGAAACCTCTATATCAATCCTAATATAGTCAATAGCTTCCATATGCGTGCTTGGATATGTGCTCCTGAAAAGAACACCGTGGATGTCCTCAAGAATATCATAAAATCCATCCAATCTTGCAGCAAGGAAATTCTAGATTGGTTGGAAAGGATGACAGAAAGAGATTTAGAAATTTACCTTCGGGCTCTTTTAAAAAAACGCAAATACCTTGTTGTGGTTGATGATCTATGGCATACAGAAGCGTGGGAGAGTTTGGAAAAAGCATTCCGAGATGGCAAGAAAGGCAGCAGAGTCATTATTACCACCCGCATGAAGGATATCGCTGAAAGAGCAGACGAAGGTTTTGTCCATTATCTCCGTTACCTAAGCCAAGAAGAAAGTTGGGATCTCTTTTGTAGGAAACAACTCGATGTTCAGGCAATGGTTCCAAAAATGGAAAGGTTAGCTAGAGATATGGTGGAAACGTGTGGAGGCTTACCTCTTACAATTGTTGTATTGAGCGGACTCCTTTCGCATAAAAGGGGGCTAGACGAATGGAAAAAGGTGAAAGATCACCTTTGTAAGAACATTATTGAAGATGAATGTACTGAAAGCCTCAAAATACTATCATTAAGCTACAATGATTTGTCAACTGCGCTCAAGCAGTGTTTTTTGTACTTTGGTATTTTTCCAAAAGGTCAAGTGGTCGAGGCTGAAAACATAATATGGTTGTGGATGGCAGAAGGTTTCATACCCAGAGGAGAAGAAAGAATGGAGGATGTCGCTGAAGGCTTCTTGAATGAGCTGAAAAGACGAAGCTTGGTTCAAGTGGTAGATACATTCTGGGAAAAAGTTGAAGTATGTAGTGTTCATGATTTACTTCGTTATCTTGCGATACAAAAGGCATTGGAGGTAAACTTCTTTGACATTTATGATCCAAGAAACCACTCCATATCCTCTTCATGTATCAGACATGGCATTCATAGTCAAGAAAAAAGGTACCTCTCACTTGATCTTTCTAACTTGAAGTTGAAGTCAATTATGTTCTTCAATCTAGGATTTCGTAACATGAGTCATATAAACTTCAGTAGTGTGTTCCAACATGTATATGTGTTGTACATGGATACTATTGATGGCACTTTACCTGATTCCATAGGAAGTTTGTACCACCTCAAGTTCTTAAGATTGACAGGTGTTATTCATGATTTACCCTCCTCCATTGGCAGCCTCAAGAATTTACAAATACTTTGTGTCAAATGTAATTTCAAACAATTCTGCCAACTACCCCCCGAAACAGCTGACCTAATAAATTTAAGATATTTAGCTGTTCCCTATTCAGAACCTCTGAATCGTATAAGAAAACTCACAAGTCTTCAATCTCTCAAAGGCGTCTCTTGTGATCAGTGGAAAGATGTTGATCCTGTTGATTTAGTCAATCTTCAAGAATTAAGCATGATTAGTATTACCAAATCTTACTCCCTCAACAACATTAGCAACTTGAAAAACCTTAGCACTCTCAAGTTGTTGTGTTATGCTGATGAATCATTCCCATCTCTTGAATTTCTTAATTCTTGTCATAACCTCAAGAAATTGTTGTTAGAAGGTAGAATAGAGAAACTGCCTTTGTTTCCAAATTCCATCACAATGCTGACTCTTGTCGACTCAAAACTCATGGAAGATCCGATGTTTATTTTGGGAATGTTGCCAAACCTAAGGAATCTCTGTTTGTTTAGAGCTTATCAAGGAAAAGAAATAATCTGCAGTGATAACAGTTTTAGTCAACTGAAGTTCCTTAGTCTTGATTGTCTTTGGAACCTAGAAAGATGGAATTTAGCAACAAGTGCCATGCCTCTGATCAAAGCTCTTCGTATCGATCGCTGTCTAAAGCTGAACCAAATTCTTGAGAGAATGAAAGATGTGGAACCATTGCCTATTGAAGAGAAATTAAATGCGCTGAAGCTTTTCAACCATATATGATGTCTTATTTCACAATACCAAAGGTAAATATACAAACAAATATATAACTTTGTTGATTTATTTATATAAATCGTGTCTTAATATTTGGGTGAAATCAACAGAGAAGAAGCTGTCACTTGAAGACATTCACCATCATCAACTTGGCTTCTCCAACCATCAATCAAGTTCGATTATTTCAACATTCTTTTTTTCAATGTTTCTTTTTTCCTGTTTTTGGCTTGTTTTAGTGTGTGGAATTGGTTCAAACAGATGTATTTTTTATTTTTTTTGGGATTCTATGCTAAAATGATTTTGTGATGATTTAATAAAGGGAAAAGGCTCAAATATGCTGTTGAACTATTAGAAATGACTCATTTATGTTATCGGCGTTATAAAAACAGGTTCATTTGATGCAATTCTTACAAAATGGCTGAAAGCTAAAGCAGCTGAACAATCAATAGTCATTATAATATCAAAATATTTAGTGACTGAGAAAATCAATTAGGCTTCTTTTGAACAGTTTTTGTTGGTTAATCTTCTTTTGAGAGTTAAAGAACCAAACAGACACCAAAATCTAAAAAGGGAAAATGTTCAAATATGTCATTAAACTTTGAGAAAAGGTTTATATATGCTATCTATTAACAAATTGGCTCATTTATGTCATTTCTGTTTGAAAAAAGGCTCATTCATGTCAGTATTTGTTAACTGAAAATAGTTTCGGTTTTGCAAAATCGTTTGTTATACTTGGTCAATTATGATTTGGCCACGTTATTAATTATATTATTTTTTAAAAGAAAAAACGTTCAAATATGTCATTGAACTTTGAGAAAAGACTCATCTATGTCATTCGTTAAAAAATAGGCTCATTTATGTTATTATTTCAAATATGAGCCAAACATTTAACGAATAACATATATGAGACATTTCTAATAGTTCGATGACAAAGTTGAGCGTTTTCCCTTCAGTTAATTGTTTTTCTATGTGCGATCTTACTTATCCACATTTAAGATAAGACATAATACATAAACACGACCCTTTAACTTGACGTCTACTGACAACTATGACCTTTAACTTGGGGTGTGCACAAGTAGGCACTTAAATTTGTATAAAATTGAACAAATAGACGCATTTGTCCTACATGACACCCTATGTGGAAATTTGTATCCTATGTGGCGTCCTATGTGTATTACGCCATGTAGGACACGTGTGTCTACTTGTTCAATTTTATACAAGTTTAAGTGCCTACTTGTGCTCTGAACCTCTAGTACGTATAAGCAAACTCACTAGTCTTCAAGTTGTTGATGTCATTGGTTGTGATCAGTGGAAAGATGTTGACCCTTTTGATTTAGTCAATCTCCGAGAATTAAGCATGCATGATATTAAGAAATCATACTCCCTAAACTTCATTTTTTTCTTTTACTCCATATAAATAATATTTGTGTTAAATCAACAGAGAAGAAGCTGTTACTTGAAGACATTCACCTTAATCAACTTGGCTTCTCCAACCATCAATCAACTTGGATTATTTCAACATTCTGTTCTTTTTTTTTTGGTTGTTTTGCTTTTACATTAAACAGTGTGGAATTTGCTTTTAGAGGAAAACCTAATAGAAGAAAGTAATTTTTTTTTAATAATAAAGAATGTGGAATTTGCTTTTAGAAACGTAATAGAAGAAAATAAAACTTTTTTTTTTATATTAAAGAGTTATGAATTTGCTTTTAGAGTAATACAAGAAACTAAAAGTTTGTAGAAAAATCCCCTATATATATAAAAATAAAATTCATATTTACGAAACGTAGCAAAAGAATTTCAAACATAGCAGGAGTTTTTTTTTTTTTTTTTGCAAACATATACGAAATTTCGTGTATGATGAAAACAGTGTAAAAATCATATGAAATATATAGATCTCACTTAGAGCTTAGAACTTCGTTCAAATTTTTTTGTGTATGAACGATATATAAATTTGGTATGAAATATGTATATAACTATATAAATTTACATATAACTCATCCGTCATTATATGATTATCATACGATTTTTGGATACAATTCGTCTATAATTTTGAATGTCAACGAACTAAAATAAAAAATTTAATCCAAAACTAATTGGAATTTTACCCAAATGATCTCATTTTTTATAATTTTAGTCTCCTCAACTTTCCAATTCTTTTGAGAAATCACCAATTCAAAAAAAAAATTCGTTTTTAGCAAATCAATTTTGAGAACTTGACCTTCAAGATCTTACAAAATCTTGATGGAATTGAGAAGCCATGCTCATCATTTTTTCCTATAGATTCCCCAAACAAGGAAAATTAAAAAGAAAAGAAAGGTATCTATTATTTAAAGATCAAAGATTATTGACTAAAATATCCTTATTTACAATCTAATTTCGTTGGATAGAACTTTTAAAATAATGTTTGTTCTAGGGGACGTATTACTGAGGGTCTTTCTGAAATAGCTAGTCTATCTGCCTCCACGGGATAATGGTACAATCTGCATATATTTTTCCCTTTCCAGATCCATTTGTGGAATTTCATTAGGTATGTTGTTGTTTGCCCCGCGGGACTTGTGCCTTGGGACATAATTTTTTGTCTTAACACACAACTTGTGCAACTGAAGCAGTGGCGTTGCCACATAACTGGACACTTGAATGTTCTTAGCGAAATTTTTGGTTTTGCCACTACACTTGAAGTTATTGCTTAGAGCATAACTTGTGTCATGCAATTTTAAATTCTTGGCTTGCAGTTAGTAGAGAATATATACTTTTCTTTATGATTAACATCAACTGTATCATCTTTCTACTTTACAACTTTTTCCCTTGTCGGATTTTTTGAGCTTTAAATACTGAATTCCATGTTAACAATATTCATCACTTATCAAACTCTCAATCTACCCCCCTTCTTCTTCTTCTTTTTTTCAATCAAAAGTAGTATTCCTAAAGATGGCTGATGCCTTTGTGTCATTTGCAGTTCAAAAATTGGGTGATTTCCTTATACAACAAGTTTCACTAAGAACAAATCTCAGAGATGAAATTACATGGCTGAGAACTGAGCTACTTATCATACAGTCATTCCTCAAAGATGCAGAACAAAAGAAGTCCTTAAACTTGAACATTAACAGACTCATTTTTGTCATCCGTTAAATGTTTGGCTCATCTAAGTCATTTTACTTAACAAATATTGACATAAATAAGTCTTTTCTCAAACGAAAATGTCATAGATGAGCCAAACTTTTAACGAATGACATAGATGAAGCTTTTTTCAAATTTTGGTGACATATTAAATTACGGATCAGTAAATTTTATTAAAGGGAATAAAATTGTTCTTTGAAGGGTATTTTCTTTCATTTAAATTTCATACAACTATAACAAACAACATACGAAACTTCAACACAATTTTCATATAACTCATCAGTCATTATACAATTATCGTATAACTTTAATATAATTTTGAATTCCAACGAAATAAAACTAAAATTCAATCCAAATAATTCCATTTTTATATTATAACTCATCTCGACATTTCACTTCTCTTGAAAAATCACTCCTTTTTTAAAAAAAAAAAATGGTTTACCACAAATTAATTTTGAGAACTTGAACTTCAAGTTCTAACAAAATCTTTTATGGAATAACCTCCATGGATGAATTCGAATTAATTTGTGCTGACTTATTGAATATTTTATTTCTTCTCTACTAAGTTAGCTCATATTTTTCCCTATAGATTTCCCAAACAAGGAAAATTAAAAAGAAAAGAAAGGTATCTATCAAGATTAAATTTGAAATTTCTCATTTTACCATTAATAATATGATTTTATAACCACATTGATACCATGAAAATTTTAAAAATCTTTCGTTCCTGATTAAAATGTCGTAACTAGTCTTTCCATAAGATAAAACAGATGTATAATTAATTAGGTGAAGTAATTTAGGTGGAGGAACAATTAAACCAACTCTTCTGATCTCAATATTAAAATGCCTTTATTCTAATATGAGATGTCTTTTTAAATAAACAATATTTTTTGGAAAGGTATAAAATAGGCCAAAATCATTAGCACAAATGCCCTAATTTTGGGGTGAGTTTTAATTTTTATCTATCAAATTCGTTGTCTTTAATTTTTTTATATTGTTCATTTAATAAAAATAGGCATAAATCATAATACATACATATGTCGTTTAACTTGGCTTCATTTCATATTTATGTCCTCTAATTTTGGGTGTGCACAAATAGACACTTAAACTTCTATAAAGTTGAACAAGTAGACACCTGAGTCCTACGTGACATTAGGGGTGTACATGGCCGGGTTGGTTCGGGTTTTTCAAATATCAAACCAAACCATTTGTGTTGGATTTTTAAATTTATAAACCAAACCAAACCAAACCAATAAAACTCGGGTTTTTCAACCTCGGGTTTTTTCGGGTTTTTCGGTTTTTCGGGTTGTTTCGGGTTTTTCCGGTAAAGTATTCATACAAACATATAAGTTACTTGTACTTCAAATATTTCTTTAGTCCTACCAAAATACAACTATCTAAGATGTTTCTTAAAAATATAACACAATATAATATGATTAATGACACTAAAATATCCAACAAAAATAATAATAATAATGAAATCGCATAAAACAAATATTGCAAATTAACAAGTCATAATGAAAATTATCATAATTTAAAAGTACTAAATCATGCTAAAATTAAGTTTAATAAGTATTAGTTACATGACTAAATATTAAAGAAAATTAAAATTAGATTATGTATTTTAATTGTCTAAACCAATGTAAAACTAAAGAACAAATATTCAATATTATTATCATTCTTAGTTTTGAATTGATTTTCATTTTGCATTAGTATTAATTTGATTTTGATTTAAGCTTTATTATAATTACCAACATCTATGGGCTATTATCTTTATTGGCCCATTCATAATTTTAAGTTTCAAACTTGAAATAATATATTAAAAGATAAAAACTATGGAAAAGTATAAGAAATATTTAAAAATTATATCAAAGTACATATTTTTATGTATAAAATAAAATTTTAAAATTATATATATAAATTCGGGTTGGTTTGGTCTCGGGTTGGTTTTTTTTAGTTAAAACCAAACCAACCCAAATATAGTCGGGTTTTTTTTTTCAAAACCAAACCAAGTCAAACCAAACCACTAATCGGGTTTTTTTTTTCGGGTTGATTCGGTTTACGGTTTGGTTCGGTTTTCGGTTCGGTTTTGTACACTCCCATGTGACATAATACACGTAGAACATAAATTGTCATGTAGGATGTCACATAGGATGTGTGTCTCTATTTGATCAAATTTATAAAAGTTTAAGTGTCTACTTGTGCACACACCCAAAATTAAAGGACATAAATATGAAATGAAGCCAAGTTAAACGACATATGTATGCATTATGCCACAAAATATGTTGACTAAAATATCCTTAATTACAATCTAATTTCGATGGACATAACTTTTTAAATAATGTTTGCCCTATCGAACTTATTGCCAAGGGTCTTTCTGAAACAACCTCTTTATCTCGTGCTCGTTGAGATAAAATCTGACATAATTTCTTGTCTTAAGAGGCAACTTGTGTGACTAAACTTATGCCTTTAGAGCATAACTTGTGTCATGCAATTTTAAATTCTTGCCTTGCACTTAGTAGAGAATATATACTTCTCTTTATCATTTACCTCAACTCTATCATCTTTCTACTTTAAGACTTTTCCCCTGTCAGATTTTTGAAGCTTTAAATACTGAATTCCATGAATAACAATATTATTCATCTTTTATCAAACTCTCAATCTACTGCTTCCAATATTTATTTTTTTACATACACACTTTACCTTTTGCAAAAAAAATATAAATTTCCATACAAACTTTACCTTTTACAAAAAAAAAATATTAATTTCCATACAGCTACCCCCTCTTCATTATTTATTTTTTTCCAATCAAAAGTAGTATTCCTAAAGATGACTGATGCCTTTGTGTCATTTGCAGTTCAAAAAATGGGTGATTTCCTCATACAACAAGTTTCCCTGCGTAAAAATCTGAGAAAGGAAGTTGAGTCACTGAGAAATGAGCTACTCTTCATGCAGTCTTTCCTCAGAGAGGCAGAACAAAAGCAAAGTGGTGATCAAAGAGTTCAACAATGGGTGTTTGAGATCAACTCTATTGCTAATGACGCTGTTGCTATACTCGAGGCTTACAGCTTCGAGGCTGGTAAACGTGCTAGTCGTCTCAAGGCTTTTGCTTGCATATGTAGGAAGGAGAAGAAATTCTACAATGTCGCTGAGGAGATCCAATCACTCAAGCAACGAATCATGGATATCTCTCGCAAACGAGAGACTTATGGTATTACAAATATCAATAATGCTGGAGAAGGGTCAAGTAATCAGGTTAGAAAATTGAGGAGAACTACATCATATGTGGATGACCAGGATAACATTTTTGTTGGACTTCAGGATGTTGTACAAAAATTGCTAGCTGAACTTCTCAAAGCAGAGCCTCGTAGAAGCGTCATCTCCATTCATGGCATGGGCGGATTAGGCAAGACCACTCTTGCAAGAAACCTCTACAACAGTCCTAATATAGTGTCAAGCTTCCCTACACGCGCTTGGATATGTGTTTCTCAAGAGTACAACACAATGGATCTTCTTAAGAATATCATAAAATCCATCCAAGGTCGCACAAAGGGAACTCTAGAATTTTTGGAAAGGATGACAGAAAGCGATCTAGAAATTTACCTTCGTGATCTATTGAAAGAAGGCAAATACCTTGTAGTGGTTGATGATGTATGGCAGAGAGAAGCATGGGAGAGTTTGAAAAGAGCATTCCCAGATAGCAAGAATGGCAGCAGAGTTATTATTACCACGCGGAAACATGATGTTGCTGAAAGAGCCGACAACAGAGGTTTTGTCCATAACCTTCGTTTCCTAACCCGAGAAGAAAGTTGGGACCTCTTTTGTAGGAAACAACTTGATGTTCGGGCAATGGTTCCAGAAATGGTAAGGATAGCTAGAGATATGGTGGAAAAGTGTAGAGGCTTACCTCTTGCAATTGTTGTATTGAGCGGACTACTTTCACATAAAAGGGGGCTAGGCGAATGGCAAAAGGTGAAAGACCACTTTTGGCAGAACATTCAAGATGACTCCATTGAAATCTCCTACATACTATCATTGAGCTACAACGATTTGTCAGCTACGCTCAAGCAGTGTTTTCTGTACTTTGGTATTTTCCCAGAAGATCAAGAGGTCAATGCTGAAAAGATAATACTGTTGTGGATGGCTGAGGGTCTCATACCAAATGGAGAAGAAAGAATGGAGGATGTCGCTGAAGACTTCCTGAATGAGCTGATAAGACGAAGCTTGATACAAGAGGTACGTTCATTTTGGGAAAAAGTTACTGTATGTAAGGTTCATGATTTACTTCGTGATCTTGCCGTACAAAAGGCATTCGATATAAAATTCTTTGACATTTATGATCCAAAAAAGCACTCCATATCCTCCTTATGTATCAGACATGTCATTCATGGTCAAGGAGAAAGGTACCTCTCACTTGATCTTTCTCACTTGAAGTTGAGGTCAATTATGTTCTTCGATCCAGATTTTCGTAACATGCATCTTACAAACTTCAGTAGTGTGTTGCGACATATATATGTATTGTACTTGGATATTGGAGGTTATGTTATGACTGATGTCATAGGAAGTTTGTACTACCTCAAGTTCTTAAGCTTGAGAGGTGTCTGTAATATTCCCTCCTCCATTAGCAACCTCAAGAATTTACAGACACTTCTTGTCAATGACCATGGAGGGTTTAGCCGTCTACCCCAAAAGACAGCTGACCTAATAAATCTAAGACATTTAGTTGCTCCATATTCAGAGCCTCTGAAATGTATAAACAAACTCACGAATCTTCAAGTTCTTAAAGGCTTTCGTTGTGATCAGTGGAAAGATGTTGACCCTGTTGATTTAGTCAATCTTCGAGAATTAAGCATGGATTGTATTAACAGATCTTACTCCCTAAACAACATTAGCAGCTTGAAAAACCTTAGCACTCTCAGATTATTGTGTTATGCTGATGAATCATTCCCATCTCTTAAATTTGTTAATTCTTGTCAAAAGCTCCAGAAATTGTGGTTAAGAGGGAACATAGAGAAACTTCCTCTGTTTCCAGATTCCATCACAATGATGGTTCTTTGGAAGTCAAAACTCATGGAAGATCCGATGCCTATTTTGGGAATGTTGCCAAACCTAAGGAATCTCGAATTAGAAGAAGCTTATGAAGGAAAAGAAATAGCGTGCTGTGATAACAGCTTCAGTCAACTCGAGTTCCTTCGTCTTCATCATCTTGACAAGCTAGAAACATGGCATTTATCCACAAGTGCCATGCCTTCAATTAAAGGTCTTGACATCAAATACTGTCCACATCTATATCATATTCCCAAGAGAATGCAAGATGTGGAGATAACTCCTTTTTGGCCTGTTTCGTAATCGTAGAGGTAATATATCTCAATCCCCAATGACCATTTCTTAAGATATGTTAGTATTAGTTTTGATTTTCTATCTTTTTTTTTTTACATTAAATACACTTCTATGGAAAATGACTCTCACCCTTTTTTATGAAACTATTTTGGTAAGCAAATTACAAATATTTCCTCGAAAATGACTTTTATCGTACCAAACATACATTGAGTTTAATGAGCAATATATCATTTGGTTGACACTTGATACTGTCATGAGCAGGGGGAAGAAAGAAGCAGTTGAAGGGAGCATTAATCAGATTTCAGGAATGTGTTTTTAGTGTTTAAATTGTATTTGTTTTGAGCTTTTTGAGTGTGGAATTGGTTTGAAGAGAATTGTTTTTGGGATTCTATGCAAAAGTGATTTTCTGTTGTTTTGATTAAGGCATAATACATAAATGTGCCCTTTAACTTGACCTCATTTTACGTTTATGTCTTTCAACTTTGGGTATGCAGAAGTAGGCACTTAAACTTGTATAAAGTTGAACAAGTAGACACATGAGTCCTACATGGCATAATACGCGTAGGACACCACGCAGGATAAAAAATTCCATGTAGGATGTCATGTAGGACTTGTGTGTCTATTTGTTCAACTTTATACAAATTTAAGTGTCTACTTGTGCACACCGAAAGTTGAAGGGCATAAATGTGATTTGAAGCCAAGTTAAAGGGCATATTTATGTATTATGCCTTTGATTAATTGTTCCACCTGATCGATGCCATAGGCAACTTGGTCTATCTCAATTTTCTAGGCATTAAGTAGTAACATTCATGATCCCTCGATATGTGCATTGCAAATGAGCTGTCAAACTACAAAACAACGGTACCTTCTTGTATCGATCAATTTGATTTCTGAAACCACATCGAAATTCCTAGTCCTAACATGAAAGAGCCATGGGAGAACTTTCGATGCAGGGTAGGACTTGAAAAAAATGCATTTGTATGGTAAATATATTGTTATGGTCCCTGTTATGGATCTAGTTATGGGATGTTGCAAGATGAAATCTAAAGTTTTCTTCCTATGACCTATAGTGTTGGTTCGTTAAGAACCTGCAATCTCTTGAGTTAAAGTACTCAAAAACTGAAATAATTTTTCTGCTTCTATCTCCTTAGACAAACAAATAGTTTAAATACAACACTTATAAGATAACTACCCCTAGAAACTAGGACATGCCTTCCTAACATTACTGGAATCACGGAAAAATAACTACTACTAAAAAGAAATAACTACTGTTGTAACTATTGGATGACTAAGGAGTGATAACATATATTCAATAGAATATGGAAGAAAGCATAGAATATTTTTGATTATTGGGCCGTTTATGGAAGAAGATGTCGAGGGTTAGTTTATTTTGAGAGCAGAAGTATCGATTGTCTTTACTTATGCGGCTTACGACCAAATCAATCACTTTTTTGGAATACATTAAAGACTATTTCCATCATGTTTATACATTACAGACAAAATGGAACCAAAGCTCATATATTAAGGATCATTTTCTCTCCATGATTGCATAGTAAAGGAATTCAGTTATCTAACTAGCTTTAGTACCTTATTTTTGGGTTTTCTGATTCTGTACAACAAGCTCAAAAATCTGATGCCTCGTTGTTTCTACTTCAGATAGATTCTACAAACTACAAAAGACACCACTTTTACTGCAAAATTAGAGATGCAACGCATACCAAAAGATCAAGATTGCATCATGAATAGCGGAAACAACACCAAATACCACTACAGGGTAACAAAACAGAAATATACAATGGCACACATCAGTTTTTCACAAAAAAAGGCAGTTGACAAAGTACAGATTGCTGTTCATAAATTCAACTAAAGGAAATCACAATGCACGTTATCTCAACTATGCTTTTTCGCGGTGAATACATCAATTTCACCATAATATTAGGTTGGGCATATCAATTAGACAACAAACCCAATTTCCAAAGTTATCGTATCACAATTAAATCCCTAACTCAACTGCACTTCATACACAAGAAGATTATAAGCTAAATCCACAGCTTAAGTTTTTAGATGAGACGATCACACACTTTAACCTCTCATACAAGAAGTTAACCTGCATTTAAGTTGAAGAGAGGATGTGTAATGGTTGAGAAATGAGCTGCTCTTTCCTCAATGTTGCAGAGGAAAATATTAACATTGGACCACATAAGCTGCAAACTGATGATATCGAGCAGGTCTAATGTTCCTTTCCTTTAGCTTTAATTTGTTCTCGGTCCTTGCCGATTTACAACAATTTTTAAGGACTTCTTTATTGCAGCTTTGTCGCAGATGACTTAAGCCTATAATTTTCTTTAGTTCATTATATTCTCAACCGACAATGCCAATTGCCAATTTCCTCACTCTGTACCATATTCTTGAACTCCATCATCAACAGCATTAGGGCCACATTTCTCTTGCCCAGTCAAATGGGCCACATTTCACTTTCATTGCTCTAATTTTTCTTGTTCATTTTCCACATTCGTGTTTGACATATTGGACAATAGTAATACTTCTTATTAGGTGGACCATTGTACAATAAATATAATTGTTATTTTTAGACTTTTCTCCATATAAATTCTTCCACAAGTTGTGTAGTGGTTGTTGAAAGATGCTTTAATTTCTTCTTTTGAGAACATTTTAATTCTCCATATAAAAAATGGGGCACATTTCACTTTCATTGCTCTAATATTTTAAAATGAAGACACTTCCATTTTCTCTTGCCCAGTCAAATGGGGCACATTTCACTTTCATTTCTCTAATTCTTTTTCCACAAAGCATTATCATCAATATTTGTCTAGGATTCAGCTACTTCAACTTCCTATCTCTGTATTTCATTCTTCAGCTTTCTCCCAATATCTGGTATACAGACCTGTTTTTCCACCTCACATATAGCTGAAGATGGTTGATGCCGCCTTTGTGTCTTTTGCGGTTAAGAAACTAGGGGATTTTTGTTAAATTTGACAAGATTCAAGGATGAATTAATGTGAAGATTTGATAGTTAGGAAGATAATTCTTCATTGGTACAAAAGTCAAGATAGCACCTTTTGTAGGTGAAAATTAGGTAAACCATAAAATGGTTTCACAAGGTAAATTTTGACATTTTGACACATTGTGATGTCATGGATGACATCAATAGGAAGAATTCACTCCTATAAATAGGTAGCTCCTAATTCATTTGTAACACACCTCTCACTTGCCTTCTCATCTTCAAAGGCATTTGATCTTCTTTCTCTCTTGTAGCATTTCACTTGTACTCTTTTGGAGTGAAATAAATATTGGTTGGTTGTGTCCGAGGAGTAGGCAAAAGAAAACAAAAGTTTGCCGAACCTCATTAATTCCTGGTGTTCTTTTTATTGTTGTCTCATTTACTATTTATTAGCTACCTTTAGATATAGCAGTTGTGATTCCATCACTCTCTATATATTCGACTTCCGCAACAATTGGTATCAGAGCCAAGGTATTATCTGAGTATGCTCTGTGGTTGTAGCACAGTCTAAACTTCCACACCAGAAAAAGATTTACTTTGGTTTTTGCATTATTAGCTAGTAAATAGTATTTGTAGCAAAAATGGGAGACAAGAAAAATGATGAGTCCACATCGAGTGTCAATAATACGTCATCATTGGCATCTTCGCTTATGACAAGAATTGTGTCAAATGCGAAATTTGCAGTTGAAATTTTTGACGGGTCAGGACATTTCGGAATATGGCAAGGCGAGGTCCTTGATGTTCTTTTTCAACAAGGGCTAGATATTGCCATAGAAGAAAAGAAACCAGAAGGTGTAGGAGAAGAAGATTGGAAGATTATCAACCGTGTTGCTTGCGGTACCATTTGATCTTACCTTGCAAGAGAACAAACGTATCCATGCACGAAGGAAACATCCGTAAATAAATTGTGGAATTCATTGGAGGAGAAATTCTTGAAAAAAAATAGTCAAAATAAACTTTACATGAAAAGAAGATTGTTAAGCTTCACTTATATTCCTGGTAGCACAATGAATGATCACATCACCAGCTTTAATAAGTTGGCGACAGAGTTGCGGAATATGGACGTGACTTTTACGGATGGAGATATGGCCTTAATGTTGTTAAGTTCACTTCCCGATGAGTTCGAGCACCTTGAAACTACTCTACTGCATAGGAATGATGAAGTATCTCTCAAAGAAGTTTGTTCTGCCTTATATAGTTATGAACAAAGAAAGAGAGAAAAACAAAAGGGTGGAGAAGCAGAAGCACTGATTGCAAGAGGTCGTTCTCAAAATCATATGAGAACGAAGAAAGGAAGATCTAAGTCAAGATCCAGACTCAGCAAAGATGAATGTGCCTTTTGCCAAGAAAAAGGGCACTGGAAGAAAGACTGCCCAAAGTTGAATAGCAAAGATCAAACCAAATAATGGGAAGGCTGTCATGGATTCAAATATGGTTGATTGTGATGACTCTGATTACTCACTAGTTACAACAGATCCATCCAAATTATCTGATGTATGGTTGATGGACTCAGCTTGTAGCTATCATATGTGTCCCAATCGGGACTGGTTTGTTGATTTACAAAAAGGTGAATGTGGAGTTATTCACACCGCAAATAATAATCCTCTTACCACATATGGTGTTGGTTCAATTCGATTAAGAAATCATGATGGATTGATCAGAACATTAACAGATGTTCGATATGTACCAGATTTGAAGAAAAATCTCATTTCTATAGGAGCCCTAGAGTCAAAGGGACTCAAAGTCATTGCAGATAATGGCATAATGAGAATATGCTCCGGTGCATTGGTGGTAATGAAGGCAATTCGAAGAAATAATAACATGTACCACTATCAAGGTAGTACAGTTATTGGGACAGCGACAACAATATCCAATGACGATAAAGAGGCAGAAATGACCAGGCTGTGGCATATGCGCTTGGGACATGCAGGAGGAAAATCCTTGAAAACTTTATCTGATCAAGGATTGCTAAAAAGAGTAAAAACTTGCA